TATGAATTGGAACAAAAGAGTTTGCTCAGAACGCAGGAAATCGCATTTCCGAGGTTCTAGATTTCAAAATTTCCCGGGGGAGGATACCCCCGGACCCCCCGACAAATGCGAGTTCTTATGTATGCATCAGTCAGTTCAGGAGCTGGATCCGCCCCTGCGTACAAACGTTTACCCATTTAATAGTTGTTTATGCTTTATTGATCTGGTACAGATCTGATGCAATTTTTCGCTCTTTGTACTGAGTGTAGCCATCTATTCTGTGATGTAGCACCTTATACAGTCAATGACAATGTATAATGAATACACGGTCTAAATAATATCGATGGGCACTTACATATTAATTGATGCCGGTAATGCATAACAGAAATTTATATATTGTATTATTGCGTAGAATCTCAAAGATTTTCTCAATATTCATGTCTGAAATGTTTATATACTTGAAAACAACACTGTCTCGCTTCTGTCTACGTACTGTACCTCTGTATAATGAGTATGCCGTGAAAATAATATCGGCACTCAATTGAATGCCTAGAATCTCAAAGATTTTCGACTCAATATAACAATATTTACGTCTGAAATGTTTATACACTTGACTGCACTGTCTAGGCCGTCTAAATATTATCGGAACTTAATTGAACGCCCGTAATGCATAAGATCAATTTATATTTTGCGTAGATTTTCAAAGATTTACTCAATTTTCACGTCTGAAATGTTTATACATCTGAAAACTACACTGTCACTCCTTCCTTGCATATCGTCACGCCATCGTGATCTACGGCTTGATAGCGCATGCGCATTTGCGCTACTAAAGAAAAAATCGGGTGTTCCGGGGTAAAGATCCTTTACACAACATGACAAGCGAATGTTCTAAAATTTACAAAAAATTACGATAACGAAAGCGATTCCTCGATATTTTTGTGAACTTGGCAAAAGGATAACAGGATATGTAAATAAGTTAACTGAAATTGCCTAAATAACCTTCAAAGCACTGACTAAGTACGATAAATCACTACGAACATATATCGTATACACCCCCCGGAAAGTTTACTGTATGACTGACTGAATGAATGACTGATACGTTTGAATTTCCCCCCAGTCATCACAATACTGTGAAGTTTCGAAGAAACTTCACACTAAAAAATGTAGTTATTAAACACGGCAGAATCGATGCCGCGGCCACGGGTTTTCAAATTGTCTGTTGTAATTGTATTATTGAGCAAATGACAGACTTCGCGCAATAATGATTAATGTTGTTTTTTAACCTGCTATTGTTCGACACTTTTAATAAATAGTGTTTGTTCAAAACCTAAATACGTTTCCTTAAATCTTACAGTTATATTTTGGATATAAATGTGTAAAATACATTAACATTAAGAGAATAAAATTTTATATATTTAGTTACAGTTTTATTTTATAGTATAGTTAAAACGGCAATGTATACGAACAAAGACAGCAATATACAAACGGGACTATGTTTTAAATATTAGAACACTTTAGGGAAAAAACGACCATGCATTATTTTAGATTAAAGTTTAGACCTTGGAATCCTAGTGAAAGACACAGGCGTAAAATTGCGCGAGAAACTGTTTGTTGTTGTTAATAACCTCTGGTAATCTAATTAACAAAACTTACTTTGATTGGCTACTATTTACCGGATATTCAATTATCTCAAAGGGGGCGTATTGAAAAAATATCAATAAAAGTCGCAGGCTCTATATAATAGAGCCTGTGAGCAGGCTAGTGCTCTCATGGATTTCCTCTTTTGCGGGAAAATTAATTAATCTTGGACTCTCAGAACCGATTGTTTCGGCTGCGCTATATCTCTGGTTTTATGCACACAACAAGAAAAAAATACTCCCGAATCAGCGTAAAAGTTTGTATTTAAGGATGCAAAATTGTTTATTTTGCCTAAAGACTCCGCGCCCCCATAAAGTGGAAAACGCAGAGCCTCGTTAAAATCGAATCTTTAGGCAAAATAAACAATTTCTTGACAGACACCGTACTCCAACTCCGTCTTTTCCACCATGCCTTTATCAGTTTATTTAGTTAGTCTCGTACTATTCGTCACAGCATTTTTTTCACTGAATTCACTAACAAAAGCCATGGGGACAAAATTTAGCCGAATACGATCCGTCATTATCCGGTTATAGAGTTTATCCCCCGAGTTGTAACCAACGCAGCCGGAGATATTAGCTGTAAAACAGCCAGAGCTGAAAAATCGGAGTTTGCACAGCACTACAAATTACCCACAATTACCCATGGGAGCTGTGGAACAGCAGTGAACATGCTCATTAGTATGTATGAATTGAAGCAATTTAGCTGCCACGTACAAGAAGGCTTTAAATTCACAACATAATATTTTATGCTGTTTAATGGTTTTAACATAATGATAATATATTTGTTGTTTATGTCGACATAAGAAATCAGCCTTGTAGTTGTACTAGCCTGCATCACGTTTTAACCCCTGACATGCAAAATTATTACGATTACAACTTGTGAATTTATAGGAAACTCTAAATTCCAGTTGATTTAATACTTGAAAATATTTTCCTGTGCAGTAATTGCCTATTTTTGAGTGAAGATTGAATCAATCTTATACCAGTCAGGCAACCAAGCCTACAAAAATAATGGGTTAAACTATTCCAGTTGTTCAAACCTAGATTTTATATTAAATTGTTATTGCAAATTGTGTCAATAAACAGCAATAAAAAGAAATATTTGAATTGCTACTATTTCCGTTCAGTTTTTAGTCATTATTTCCCACTTGTCACGCAAGTGCATACTAGGATGGCGGCATTATCCATTCAACCAAACATGATTTTTCTGAAATTTCACTGAATATATATATATATATATATATATATATATATATATATATATATATATATATATATATATATATATATATATATATATATATATATATATATATATATATATATATATCCCATGCATGAGGTTAAACATTTTTATTTGTGGCTGTCACACAAGTCACAATAAGTAAGTTGCAATATCCAAGGCCTCAAATAAAATGTCAATTTCAACACCTCCCCAGTTCCTTTTCCAAATCAAGTTTGCCTTTTGCAAAATCAGAAGTGGCAGAAAACATCCTTTTTAACCATGGCCGGATTTTGAGGGGAGGTGCACACCTCCCCTGAGAATTTTTGCATTCCACTGAAAAATCATGCGCCGCCCCTTGGGAAACTTTCAATGATAGATCAAAATGAAAATTTGACATTTTTTGGTTGCTTAAGGTCTACACTTCGTAAGAAAGTTTTTCTGTAAAATTGAAACAGTGATAGTAATGAAGGGCAAAATTGGATGAGTTGTATAGTCATAATTCATTAATACGCTGATACATATATGTACACTACATGCATATGCCACGGGGGTCGTGAGCTAAACCACTGCACCTCCCCTAAATTTTTTCCACCTCCCCCACTATTTCCACCAAAATCCGGCCTTGTTTTTAACCATAAAATTGTGAATTGGTCACATGAGTCACAATGGAATGGCTCATGAGCAGCTCAAATATCAAATTCCAGCTGTGTTGATTCACACCACAGGGGATTACACCTATAAGGAGATAATGGCAGATATTATTCGGCTCAATTTTGACCTTAAGATACAGTAAGGTGATGCAGCATATCAGAGCATGTTGCTTGCGATTTACAACTCTTCCTGTGATAAGATAGATCACAGACTTGCAATTTAGCCATTCGCAGTAAGCGAAAATGGTTTCACACAACAGACACAACTTCAGATGAATATGTACTTTCGACAAACTCAATGTTGCCATTACTTGTAATTCTTCGAATTTGTCACATTTCTTGTCATTCTTACTCTCCAGCCAGAGAGAAAGCACTGCAACCCTAGCTGACCGACAAACGCCGGAACTCATGCAGAACTCTGGCCTTCCCAAATTCATACCCAGACTGTTTCCTCTATGCTCCTCGTTGAGGATAGAGCCTGGATACGAGATTGTGGCCTCCCCAAATAAACCAATCTTCCACCACCTACGATATTCATAGGAAAATGTCAGTCAAATTTTTTCATTATTTTGTACTCTTTGGTTTGACTCTAGCGGGGGCAATCATTGCACAGAGGCCAACAAAAAAACAAAATGGCTGTTAATGCATCTAATGTAAATGAGTTCTCTGACTATTATAAAAGCCAATATAAACAATATAAAAGCTGTCCTTCACCCTTTACACAGACCACTGACACCCACATAACGTGAAATTAGAAGAGTTTCATTACTAATTTACATGTCTAAATATTTTACACATGTATGGGCTATTGTAAATTATATAGTATATATTACTTACTGTTTCACCGGATTGTGATTGTGCATCAGGGGTGGATTTATAGGGGGGGATGCACAGGGGTGCACATCCCTGTTGGCCTTGCTCAACAGGGGTGCAAGGGGGGTGCAAAAAAATCAAATTCAGAAATATGGCATAATAGACACTTCCCGAATTTGCTTGAGTGCACACGAAACAATAGCTTGGAATCGAGGCGGACAATGTAATTATTGTAAATAAGTAGTTATTTACAATGATTACATTGTCCGCCTCGATTCCAAGCTGTTGTTTCGTGTGCACTCAAGCAAATTCGGGAAGTGTCTATTTCCAAGGCTTTTTCTTTTTTGAAGTCAAACTGAAGCTCATAATTCAATGCCCATATCGCAGGAAATGGCATTTCTACGGTTTTAATTTTCAAAATTTCCGGGAGCATACCCTTGGACCCCCTAGGGAGCTCGCGCCTTCAGCGCTAGAGTTGTTGGGAAGCCAGATCATTTGAATGCTCACCCATCACCCCCTTAGAAAAACCTTGCTGGATCCACCCCTGTTGTGCATACATGTAGAGTCTGTAGATGTGCATGCACAATATAGATGGCATATGCCAATGACAATGTATGGTGTTAGCCAACTTGGGGAAAATCCTTCACTATCTTCCTATTTTCATGAATGTATGGTTTACCCCTACATGTAAATTGCTTGTAAAACTTTGAAATTTTAATTCTTATTTAATATCACAATACCTTGTGCCAACCATCCAAGTAAAGGTATGCGAAGGTATCCTCCAAATCCTTTTGTGCATATCCATCTTGTCTCATTTCTTGTTTCTTCGCACTAAACTAAAGTAAGTAAAGATGGAATTATTTTCACACAGTTTGTGGGAAAGTGCTTGAAATGCCTAGTAACCTCTTCAATATTAAAATTCAAAAATACTAAAGCAGACATGTGTACCTCTGCACTAAAGCGGGCATTGTGGACGATGGTTACATTTTCAAATATATAATTTGAAATGTTGTCAGGTTGATAAAACGACTGTTTCACTTTCCTCAATAGTTCTACGGCATCTCTTGATTCAAGACCTTGTATATCCAGCAGCTCTATAGAATGTCACGTAAAAAATAGACTGTTGTTTTATATCAATGATCAATCATGGACTGCACAGGTGGGGCCTTCTACATGATTTTCAACGAAGAGTAATGCTCGAGTTGACCCGTTTCATATATGTCATGGGCGGATTTATTGGGGGGGGGGGGGTAGTAGGGGTTACCTCCCCCCCTGGAATCTCTCTAACCCATCTTATAAGGTGCTCAACCCCACTAAAATTTTGCTTCACCCCTCCTATTTTGTGTGAAAGTCTTTAACCAAAACGCTTAACCCCTGCCAAAGCTCGCTCAGTGGTGCCGCTTGCACCCCACTAGAAATTTTCCACCCCTCCTTTTAAAAAAATTAAATCCGCCCTTGATATATGTGCAATTGTTCTTTTACAATGCAATAGTCATTGACAAGAATCTTGAACACTAAATTTTCAGTGAAACATGTGTTTCACAGAAATACATCTACCTATCAAAATTATTGTGGGAAATAGCTGGAAATGCACTGCCTGGGCTTGTAATGTTCAAAAGAAGGTTCTTACTTAATCCCAACACTAGCCCTCCCCCCCCCCCTAGAAAAATTGCTGCAATTTCCCCCATGGAAAAATTTTTTTGGTGACCTCTAATATTAATATTCAGTTTGCCTGTTCAGGCAAACTATACTGCAACCCTCGAAATTCAACTATTTTTGCCTCGGCAAATAATTGCCGAAGTCTTTTGATAATTTTCGAGTTTGCCTCGGCAATGCCTCGGCAATTTTTTCGCCGAGGCACGCAATGAAATCATATTAAATTCCTTCGGCAATTACTTCGGCACCCTTCGGCATTCACGTCGGCAGTTCCTGATTCAAAATGTTTTTAAAAAGTTAGTGGTACAACAACAACAAATTGTATGAAAGAATAAACTTGACGGTAATCACGCGACAGTCTAAAAGATGAAACAAAGTTTCTCGACGTGCCGTCTTTAAACCATCAAGATTGTTCTTTATTTCAGACAAAGCCGACGCTGAAAAGCTCAAATTTAGATATTTTGTAAAGTAGCTATGAATGAAATCTTCGGCTGTTGTTCACCCAACGTCGATGACAACAATTCGAACAAAGAAGTGATATAAAAAAAGAACACTGTAGTTTGTAAATTTAACAACAAAAAAAAACGAACAGACGCTGTAGTTTGTAATTTAAGGTACAACGGGTGGAATTGCCTCGGCATTTATTTGCCAAGGCAAACTATGAAAAATCGTAACTTGCCTCGGCATTTGCGTCGGCAGTTGCCGAGTGCCGAGGCGAATTTCGAGGGTTGTACTGTGCCCCCCCCCAAACAAGATTAGGCCCATACGCTCATGATGTCAATGAGTGTGGGTTTTTCTAAAACTTGGAATATTGCATATTGAAAAATATGGTAATACCAATTTATGATTGATGTACTACTTTTGGTATTGATAGTTGCATAATAAATGTATAATTCCACCATAAGGTACCTTAGCCTAATTTAGACTACTTTATTAGCCTACCTTTACCTTAGGGGACATTAGCCTACCATGTACTACCTTGGCATACCTTAAATTACATTAGGGTACCCTAGACTACATTAGGGTACCTTGGCCTACCTTATGGTACCTTAAGCCCTGTTTACACTACGCTCAATTTTTGGTACGGCACGGATAAAATTGGTACCCGTACCACTTTTTTGGTTCTTTTTTGGTTCTTGGACTACCTAGTGGTAGGGTACCAAAAATTGAGCGTAGTGTAAACAGGGCTAAGCTAAATAGGTAGTCCAGGAACCAAAAAAGTGGTACGGGGACCAATTTTATCTGTGCCATACCAAAAATTGAGCGAAGTGTAAACGGGGCTTTAGACTACCTTAGCCTACATTAGGGTACCTCAGACAACTTTAGCATACCTTAGCCTACATTAGATTACCTTCATTAGATTAGCCTATAGCCTACCTTAGGGTACCTTGTACTATCATAGACTACATTAGACTATCTTAGCCTACTTTAAAGTACCTTAGCCCATCTTAAATATCAGGATTTTGGCATCAATGACCTTCATACAAGAATGATTCAATATTTAATCCATTAAATTGCAAAGCACCTTACATCTGTCTAATGCAAAACAATTTTACTTGTCGAAAGGAGAAGCAGCCCTTGAAACTCCTGACATTTCAGGTTGCAAGAAATGATGACCACTGATGGTTGTTGTAGACGGCATTTTATTAACCATATATGTGTGTTAAATCCTAAAGTGTCCCCTTTGAACAAGAAACTGCAATGTTTGAAGTTTGAAAAAGGGATGAACAATGTTTGTGGCAAAATACTGTATGAACACGATTTGCTCACATGCTCGCTAGGTTTGTACGTTTTCGGAATGTTTACTTCGATTGACGGATTTGATACTGGTAAAGCATATTCTGACAAGTTAAATAATCACACTGATAATGATCAAAACATGATAAAACACTGTTGGTGAAATTGTGTATGTGAAAAGTGTGTTCAAGAAAAATGCAGAGGATTTTCAAAGTAGTTTGGCAAGGTTTTGCCGACCTAAATCTACAATATCTATTTGCAGGTCGGCATTGCTGAATGCAGACCCGAGTTTCACGGGTTGCATGTGACTAGTTAACCCACGAAGTTGCACTGCACCCTACTTTATATTATATTTCATGCTGTTAAAGTCTGGGGAGAAGGGAGAGCGCTGGCACTATAAATGAGTTGACTTGAATAATTTCTATTTAGGGTATATTTCACCTGGTGGTATATACTAATACTAAATAAAATAGGAAGGGATACAGAAAAAAATTCCTTGCATGTTCCTCCTGACTCCTGAGTAAATGAACTACCAACTATCAAGTTACACCTCGAGCATTATATACCTCGCGTCTTCTTATTTCTTGGTATGACAAATTTCTTTGAGTTTAATGGTTGCACTGGCACTGTATTTTTGCGTATATCTTTCTTCGCTTTCTTGATCACAGTTTGCGCCTTTGTCTTTACTCTTTGCTTCAGTGGGACATCGTCTTCACTGGTCGACGAAGATGATTGTTTCATCTTGCAAGCACGCCAAACCTAAAAGCTTCATAGGCACCACGCTGTCATAAACTCCGCCATGTCACTCGTTTAAAACAAGTCTGTTGCGTAAATATCGTCTGTTTTGATACTGAATGAGTCCTGCATTCATATCAATAAGACGGAAAGAGTACTTACAACATGTTTTTGGCGTGAAGGATGCAATTTGGAGCGGTATTTTATACAAACAAACAACTACATGCCGAAAACTGATGACAAGCACAATACATATATGATATACCGCAGTATCAGGTTGCATGTCGGGTGTTGGCGGCCATTTCCGAAAGATGGCCGCATTTGCACGAAATTTCTGCATGTGACCACGGTTTTAATAATAGACGTCTATTAACCGTGATGTGCGCGCAAAACCATAGAAATAAATCAAATAATAGATATTTGATTGCGCAAAACAAAAAAGGTCTTAAGCCAGTTTTCCATTTCAATCGTATCTTACCGAAACGTAGCGTATTTCTTTCTTCCCTGAAGTACGTTACGATACGATTGAAAAAAAACAGGCTTTAAAACATTGCACCTGAGACTGGCACGCATATGAAAAGCCGAACATGCATTTTTTATTTTGGCTACATTGCTCACGTAATCTCACTTCATTTATTTATTTATTTATTTATTTATTTATTTATATATTTTTTACATTCACTGTATAAGGGTGAAGGTATGGTCAACAGGTGAAAAGGACAAAAATTCCATATTGCTGGCATGTTGTAAAACATGGACTGGACCTTGGACTGGACTGGACTTGTAAAACATGGACTGGACTTGTAAAACATGGACTGGACTTGTAAAACATGGACTGGACTTGTAAAACATGGACTGGACTTGTAAAACATGGACTGGACTTGTAAAACATGGACTGGACTTGTAAAACATGGACTGGACTTGTAAAACATGGACTTGTAAAACATGGACTTGTAAAACATGGACTTGTAAAACATGGACTTGTAAAACATGGACTTGTAAAACATGGACTTGTAAAACATGGACTTGTAAAACATGGACTTGTAGAACATGGACTTGTAAAACATGGACTTGTAAAACATGGACTTGTAAAACATGGACTTGTAAAACATGGACTCGTAAAACATGGACTTGTAAAACATGGACTTGTAAAACATGGACTTGTAAAACATGGACTTGTAAAACATGGACTTGTAAAACATGGACTTGTAAAACATGGACTTGATCTTCGAGCGAATTTATTATCGATGTTATGTTTCTCTATATGTACACCTATATAGAGAAACAGGTAAAAATACACGAATTATTCTGGTGCGCTCGCTTGCCTCCACCTTATTTTGCCCCCGGAATTGGACAGACAATAGAGACCTTAAGCTTGACGTTTACGGCAAACGTCGAACCGCTGACGAAGTTTTTGATTTTACAACTCTATTATAACAGCTTTTACACCAGTTTTTTACAACTCTATTATAACAGCTTTTATACCAGTTTTGAAATATATAAAACAATTATTAAACTTGTGGTAATTAGCAACTTTGAATCAACTCCAAAAGTGTTATTTTGTCGCAAAAAACAGCAACAAAATAACACTTTTGGAGTTGAATGATTCAACTCCTTGAAATTAACAGTGTAGTCATGTATTCACCAAAGCAGTAAATCAAGATTTGGCGTTTCAAGTTGACTTTTGGCGTATAAATTTCATGCTTCAACGACTACAAGCCCTCGTAGCAGTTCAAGTATGAAATTTATACGCCAAACGTCAACTTGAAAGCCAAATCTTAATTTACTGCTTTGGTGAATACATGACTGTGGTTAATTTGCTTTCTTAAATCATTGTCAAACAGGGCCTCTTTTAAGGATGTGTAATTTGGGGGAAGGGGGGACATATTTCGCGGGGGCCTGGAGAAACCTGCATATATATGCATGCATGGTTTAACTAATAAGTGCACGTCATAGAGCAGCAGATCAGGCCCGTAACTAGGATTCTGAGACAACCGAGTCGAGCACCGAAGGTACGAGCCGTCTTGAGGGGTCCAGTCTGGGGCCATCCCTCAGAAAATTTTAGATTTATTGAATCTCAGATAGGCTATTTCCAGCATTTTAAGGAGTGTTCCAACAAGAAATCAACCTTATAAATAGTGACGCAATGTAATCCAGTCCCACTAAGCCAGGCATCATGCGGTAATGAAAATGTGCGTGGTATAGTATTATCACATTCACTACACTTCAAATTATACAGTACTGTATTACATGTATTGGGGTTCTTGATTGCGACGCATTCGTCTTCTCAGTGTCACTGAAGAGAAAGATCTCTTTGGAGCATATTTTCTAATAACGAAATATAGATTGGTCCGAGTCAACATAATTTAACTTCGAAAATATTTAATCCTTTTTTGCATATCTAACATAGTTTTTTAACTAACATTTTGACAAAAAAAACTTCCACTATTTGCATGGCATGCATTTTCTATCATAGCTAGAATGTTGTAATTAAGCTGAATTCAGTTGCAAAACATAAATTTCCATAGATATAGTTCACTAATGGACCTTTCACCTTTTGACTAAAATTTTGATCTCAACAAGTCTAGACAAAAATTTTATCACAGCTTGAAAGAGCATCACAAAATTAGTAATATTCCAAAGTTTCGTTGCGAAATGTTGTAAAATGCGGATAATATAGCCTTGCGAAGTTTGCAATTTTCAGTCATTTTGTATTACAAACGGGAAATACATACCATACCTCCTTCGGAAAAAGGGTATGTATTTCCCGTTTGTAATACAAAATGACTGAAAATTGCAAACTTCGCAAGGCTATATTATCCGCATTTTACAACATTTCGCAATGAAACTTTGGAATATTACTAATTTTGTGATGCTCTTTCAAGCTGTGATAAAATTTTTGTCTAGACTTGTTGAGATCTAAATTTTAGTCAAAAGGTGAAAGGTCCATTAAACAAAACAAAACGAAAGTCATAACAAAACATTTCATTGTCCTTAGTGCCTAACAAATATTACTGGTATCCATTATTAAATTATTCAGTCGTATCCGTGTGAAACGAAAGCTTGGCTGTAGTAATGTCCAAAACGGAAATTGCCAACTGACATTACACAGTCAATCAAGATACATGTTATGATCTGGGAACTCGAGGATGAATTTCAGTCAATGATTTTCAAGGCCAAGAGATCGAACTTTTGCGATTGAACTATTATTGTAACTATTCAAAATTTGATCATTACGTTATTTTTTTAAATATTGGAGTTGGCCGAGAAAAACAGCTTACGATTAATATCCCTCCGTGCATGTACACTACTCACTAGGCTATATAGTATGGTAGATCGAGTTAATAATGCCTATCACTAAGACATGTTACTCATTTCCTAGAAATGTATCTATGGGACCGGTGCCATAGATAAATTCATGTTTTGCAACTGAATTTAGAGCTTAATTACAACCGATTCTAGATATGATAGAAAATGCAAATTGGTGGAAGTTTTTTTTGTCAAAATGTTAGTTAATAAAAAACTATTTAACATAGATATGCAAAGAAGGATTACATATTTTCGAAGTTAAATTATGTTGACTCGGTCCCGAATCTATTTCGTTATTATCTGGCCAATTCCGGGGGCAAAATAAGGTGGAGGCAAGGGCAAGCGAGCACAGCAGAATAATTCGTGTATTTTTACCTGTTTCTCTATATAGGTGTACATACTGTATAGAGAAACACATCATCGATAATAAATTCGCTCGAAGATCAAGTCCATGTTTTACAAGTCCATGTTTTACAAGTCCATGTTTTACAAGTCCATGTTTTACAAGTTCATGTTTTACAAGTCCATGTTTTACAAGTCCATGTTTTACAAGTCCATGTTTTACAAGTCCATGTTTTACAAGTCCATGTTTTACAAGTCCATGTTTTACAAGTCCATGTTTTACAAGTCCAGTCCATGGTTTACAAGTCCAGTCCAGTTACAACATGCCCATAACATGCCCTATGACTCTCTCATGTTATGATACGGCTATCACGCAAGAATCAAAGCTATAATCATGTCATCGGTTATAGACAGGAATGACAAATGCACTCCCCATATATAATGTCAAATGCCAGACTGTTTACAAATTCCCAAACGTTTACGTCTTATAAAAGTATTAACTCAAGACAGGGAACCGTGAGAACGTTTTCAATTGGCAAATCCTTCGTCTCCTACAACCTAAAAATGTTTGAAGTCAACATATTATTAGCTTTAGTCATTTTGTTAAGTACACAAGTCTTAAAAGCCTTGAGAGTTTTGACTAGTAGAGGAAGGAAATGGGTGACCGCAAGGTTATCTTTATTACAGCTGTCGTCCTGCAGACACTGCAGTGCAGGGTGCACTCATTTATAAACGTCTATACATCCCAGCTCCATACAACGCCTGCTTTATTAAGACGGATTTGATAGCTAGTTTATAGAAACATAGGAATTGTCATAGAACATGTAGTTGTATGAAACTCAACAAGCAACAATTCCCCAAACTGCAATGCCATGACAATGTTAAAACCACATTCAGTCATAAAGTATGTATACAGTATATATATGGCGGTGTATTTGGTAGCGGGAAACGGCATGGAAGGAGGAATTTAGGTTAAAAAATATATGCCTATGCTATGCCTATGGAAACGCGCCGGATTATTTAATAACCCTATTGTGGACTCTCATTTGTCATTTCCAAATAATTTATTCGAGTTCATTTTAATTTATAATTCTAAAATGTCGAACTTTATAATTCATGATACCGTGGGCGGATACAGGTTAACACCTGTGTGGCCTGTATTTCACTAGAATATAGCGATAGACATTTATTTCAGGTTGCTTAATTAATTAAACTTGAAAATGCACTTTAGTCTTTATATACCGAACGAAATGCCCGCCTTAATTCATTCGAGAAAAACGTTTCAAAAGAATATACGCAAATTTACTGAAGTAGGCGTTACACTATTAGTAGCGTACATAATAGCGTAAAAACCCCCAATAAAATTGTGTGAATTATACACAAAGTCAAAGAGCGATTTATGGCAACTTACGTCAGTTATATATGCAAATGTGTCGCAGTTTGATCAGAGGAAAATGTGACAAGCTTACAGATGATTTCACATAACACATTGTGGCATATTTAATTTACTAGGTATATTCATTATACAGAGCTATAGGAAAGAAACAAAGCACTACTGAACAGCTCAGCTTAATTGCGATTAGGAAAATATAGCTACGTCTCTATTTCTCCAATCCGTTTATGATGTCTGCACGCATTAACCTTTTGATTTGTATGCGACTTACAGATATAAAACCATAATTTAAAGCTCATATCTGACCGACAAATGTTTGGAAAGTTATAGGACGGTATAGACAAGTATTATATATTGATATACATATAGATTATAGTTTATATAAATGTGACCGGTGGACCGCACGTGCGAAGCCATATTAACCCACATGTCAAGACATTGGAACGCTGTTCCCTGTCACTCTGTTTCTTTCACTTTGTTAAAAGTTGTAAACGAAAAACTTATTTTCTCTAGTTTATGGATTATGCCTTATGGGTTGTGGATGTTTTTAACATAAAGTTTAACTCATCAGCTTATACCAAAGTATTATGTTTCATAGTTTCAGACAAATTTACTGGTAAACAAGCAAGAATGCTTGTGTTTGTTGATAAGCTGACATGAATCAATTAATGTATGGATTTTGACATATACTACATTTTTGGTGGATCAACCATCAGCAGCCAGTTGTTCGAGACTGGATTAAATTTAACACCTCACTGGTTAGCTGGAAAAACAATTTCAACTTGTTGGGAAATTTTCTTTAACATTTTAATTTGGTTAACCTAGGTCCAGGATTAAGCTAACTGGCTTTCAAACAACCAGTTCCAGGTCCAAGGATCATTCCTATTAGAGGTGTGCAAATCTGATACGAATCTGATCCGATCGGTTTGAATTTCGGAACAAAAATATTCATTTTGGATTGGATCAGATTGATAAAGTTGTTTTATAGTCGGATCGTACTTCGATATTCAAAATAAAATGAATTAATTATACATATTAATAGTTATTATTTGGTTAAATATTTCCACTTGAATTAGAAATTTATTTTATTAAAGGATTCTTTGGATCGGAATTCTTTATCAAAACTCGAATCGGATTCGGATTAGACAATTTCGGATCGGATCGGGTTTTAAACATTAGCCAATTGTCGGATTATAAACGTCCAATCCAATCCGATGCACACCTCTAATTCCTAGTTACTTCATCTCACTACAGACTCATTCTTTATACAAATTCAAGTGTGTGCAAGACTTGGTTAATAATAAAACAGCCTTTGATAATACTTCTATACTACACCAACCTACTACATTGGAACTGTTATAAAATTTCTATTCAACTGGTTACATTTTGAAGCATTTTGACAGTTAATATCAGGGAAATGTTTCATTTTAGTTTTTTTCTGTTTAACTGCAAGAGCATACAGCGTTTTGTCGCAAAGGCACTGTTGGATATTTTAAAAGTTAATTATTGAATGATATTGGATAATGTTTGTTACAAATGTACGATATGTAAAATTAACATACCTTGATGGAATTTTGGCAGCTAGACCAAAGTCTGCAACGACTGCAGTGTAACCATTGCTCTCGTTTGAAATTAGCACATTCTAGATAAGAAAGAACAAACGGAATTTAGTTGAAATTATCATTACAAACACTCAAGTTTGTCAGCATGTTTATCTTTTAAGAGGCGGATACAACGGAATGTAAATATATTCACTTAGTATCGCGAAATCTGTAAACAAACCTTAGATGCTAAATCGCGATGGATTACCCCAACACTATGCAGATAGGCCATGCCTTTGGATATATCATGGGCAAGCTTCATACGCAGGGACCACGGCAATGGCTCCCTATTGTCTTCAACAACTTCCTCTAAATTGCCAATTTCCATATACTACAAAACACCATAAATACCCTTTATTAAAATTAAAAATCTTCCATGTTTACTTAATTAAAGCACACAATCAGCAAAATCAAACGAGTTAGTTCGCATTTATTTATTTACAAAAATACTTCCATTACAAATTATAATATTATGCAACTCTCACCTCGGTAAGCAAGTGAATTCCAGAAGTGTCGAGACATACACCAAGAAATCTATTATAAACACACAAAGGACGATTTAATAATTGCTGATTTGCAAGAACTATTATTGTTTTGGAAATTATTAAAACTTCGTCTCCTGGAGCGATGTAGCAATTTATACAATGCAAGCCACAAAGCTACAAAACAAATTCAAGAGAGAAAACGAAAACTCTCAGACATGCCTTAATATATTGGGATGCTTCAACCGAGCCATAAGTCGTATTTCCGCACACATCAGTTTCATCTTGGTTGCTTTCTTCATAGTCTTGATGACAAATATTTTGCCGGTTTTTGAATCCGTAGCCTACAATAAGAATGCATGGATCGAAGTCAGTAACTTTATAGACAAAGAGGTAAACAAATAAGTGCAAACTTATATACAATATAGTAGGCTGTATTTCATGCATCGAAGTTGTCTATATAATGTTCAGCTGTCTGTAACACTTTATCACTACATAATAAACAAGACAAGCTCCTTTGAAAATGTTGTTTTATTTGTGTGTGAAAGTCAGTATTATTACGTGACAATGACAACGTCTATAGCTACACTCCGAGCTACATTCACTGAAATTACCAAGATTATTGCTGCAGTGCAGGGCACTATTAAATTTACTAAAATTTGCCACAACTTGTATTTTTATATACAGTACTACAAACATCTTACGCTTCTATTCATACTTTATACATGATTTATTGCACGTAGTTTAAATAAACATTTTTCAATCGTTACAATCACAAACAAACCCTTTTAAATCGTTGTAATAAGTTCCAGAATACATGTTTGGGGTTTTAACTATAATAGTACTAGAAGCGTCGAAGCATCGAAGCACAGACAAAGACTGCTTGATGTTCTGACATTGTGTTGAAATATTAAATTAGAACGCTATAATAAATAGCTTTTAATCATTGCTACCTTGTATATATCACCAAAGAAGCCATCTCCTATTTTCTCTAAGGTCAAACTATCTGCATGATATATCTCCCAGTCATTGACATCGTGTGGTATACTCTTGACAAAACTGTCAATATCTACTTCTTC